TTGTTCTTACTAAAAATAATTAGGCTTAACTCACCGACAGCAAAACCAGCTTGAGCTAATGGCGTAGTATATGCAGCAAATCTAGGCGATAGTTGTTATTTTTTTCATTTTGCCGAAAGCTTGACCTAAGGCCTACTACCTTTCCTGCACGTGTTTTATTGTTCGAAAGGAATAATCGATAAATTCATCACCAATTTAAATGTTATATAAAAAAAAAGGGAATTTGACCATTCTCGCCATTCAAGGAGTGTGATATTGTTATTGATAGGGCAAATAGGATTTTCTGTTGTACCTACAGAAACAATTAGTACAAGTCTAAAGAAGCTATAGTTTTATTGTTTTGGTCATTGGTTAAGCCACATTTGGAGTATTGTTTACGATCTTGGGTGTTTTACCTTTAGAAGGACATTGAATTGTAGGAAAAGGTTCAGAGAAGAGCGACTAGGACGATATCTGGGAAGGAAAGGTTGTTATAGGAGAAGTTAAGACCTCTAAAAGGTTTAAGGTTGAAGAAAATGTTAGTACTGATGCATCGTAATTTTTCTTCTTTAATGATGAAAATGGTAGAACTAGGGAACACAAATATAACTTTTGGCATGGCAGGAATCATATTCAGCTAAGACAGTTTTATTTTTCTAACAGGATGGTTGGAGTTTAGAACGTGTTGGCTTCAGATGTGGTGGATGCAGTAAATATAAGGAAGATTGAGGAAAGTTTCTTAAATATTTGAATGATAAGGACTAACTGGCTTTCACTTTTGTTTTTCTTAAGTTTAGTGGATGGGATGGCCTCGGTGGACCAAATAGGTCCCTTATTGTCCTTAATTCTATGTTATGTTATTATGGCAAAGTTGCCAGTACACAGCTTTTAAAAGAATTATCACGAGTGGTAAACGTTGAAACATGTAGAATCCACATTTTAGAGGCCATAGATTGGCCTGAATCGAAAATTGTTTTTAATTGTGCACCGATTCTAACGTTGTATGTTATTTATTTACTATTTTAACATTATACACAAGTGCCAAGAAAATAATGTCAATTAAGACTATTTATAGTCAACGGCCCTCATTTTCTAGTAGTTGATCTGACATATGTAACTCACACTAACTTACCAAACTTGCAAGGAAATATTTTAAAACTTATCCTATAATGCCTCAAATGAACAACACCTTTCTCAGACTCGCAGTCGTAGTTTTAATATATATACTGATTATAAATACTAACTTAATGTCTATCAAAACGAAGTTTCATGTTACTTTTCTATTAAGTTACTGAGTATGATAAATAATAGTTAATTTAGATAAAAGGAAAAATAAATCTACAAAAAAAAAGAACACCCACTCCAGAATTCTCTTAAAATGGGGTTAAACTGTTACGTCATGATGTTTTGATTTTTTTTTTTTATGTTTCGTTTCGTGTGAAATTAATCTAACACTTTCGTCGAATTCCAGTTGGGATCTGGGCTATGCTTTCAGAATTCCCAAAATTGTATGTTTATGTGTTTGTTTTATGTTTCAAACGTGTTAGTTGAAGAGCACTTTGAAACATAAGTCACCATAAAAAAAAAGAACGCCTAGAGTCCTAGGGGCAACAAATAAACATCTATTACCGATTGTTTAATTCTTTTAGAGCCACATTAGGCTAGCTGCTGTGTCTACCGCGAAAGTCGAACCCCAGATTTTAGCGTTGTAAGTCCATAGACCAGTGAACAACTTTTACCGAGTATGGTATTCGTGTATACGGTATGCCCAAGTAAGGGTAAATAATATGGACTGACAAATAGTTAACTGTATTTCACGATATTGTAACCTAGACTGATTGTTTATCATAAAAGTGTTAGATAAGCAGACGTTCAAACCCATTGCCTGATATTATGACATGATCTGTTTATTGTTCCGATGTAAAATGACAATTAAATAACGGACACACAAATTGATATAGAAATATGGGGAACGTAGAATCGCCACATTGTTGTTATCAGGTATATTAGCAAAACAATAAAAGTATATCGAATGTGGAATTAGTGGCTGTTATTTCCGCATTCTTTCTCTTGTTACGGGAAATGTCGCATTCTCTTTCAAATTCGGGTAGTTACGAGTCATTTTTTTTTACTCCCATACATATTTTATTTTTACACATGATTTGTGACTCTTGTTCTACTCTCCTTTCGTACACACTCCCCTGCGATAAAATCAGTTGTGCCAACTATTTGTAATAATATAACCATCCATATTTAAAGATACACTTAAGATTTTATCAGAATTATGATGCCCTTTTCTATATGACTCCTGTCTTCCGACCTTCCCTTCTGATAAAATCGGCTGTGAATTTCACAAAAATTCTAACAGAATATATGGGAAGAAAACATCTTAAAAAGCAGACTTGTTCTTGAAACAACACCCAAGACTTTCTATCTCAATGGTTAAGGCTGCTAAAATATTGTTAATAACAAAATAGTTTATTTTTGCAATTCTTCGACAAAATTCATCCATTTATTCTTCATATTATTCTTGTTTCACAAGTCTACAGAAAAAACTAACATTAATATTTTATTCAAGCCTGGGCAAACCTACTAAAAAACTCATGTGCAGGTCATAGGACTATTGCTATGTTGATTCTTGAAAGAGAAGGAGGGGTTTTATCAGTTTCTTTATTGCTAATGGCCAAGTTTCTCTTCGAAGCCATTCAAGCACCGAAGCCTATGCAAAAACGACTAGGTATACTGCGCTAAAATCTATGTACAGCTACTAAACAAACTCCTGCGGAGGCTGTAGGGCTATTATATTTCCACTGTCTAAAATGTTCTAAGTTCTTCAAAGCCATTCAAGCGTCGCAGAAATGTAGAAGCCATTTAAGCGCCATTATACTAATCGAAAAAGTTTCGTTTTGTAAGAGTAAACAATATTTATATATATATAACAGTGTCTCCAGCCTTATTATTATTGATTATAATTTTACAAGTTGCTACAAAAAAACGACTAAGAATATTTTACTAAAACCTGGACTAAAGTAATGAATGAAGTATTGAGTATCGTATTGGCCCGATTATAGGGCGATCTCAAATATAAGATGACCTCCGTTTTCAGAAACCATGGCAAAGAAAAAAATTGTGTCATAATGTCCATTTTTAGGTCCGCAAAATTAATACTATAACTGAACAGCCTGCAGGTGGATTAGTTGCAAGAATTAATGATGACCTTAAGAACATCTGGCGTGCATACTTAGATGGATAATATCTGAACATTCGGGAATATAACAGGCTAAAGTATGGGGAAGGGGCCTGTAGTTGGCCGGGATTATAAGGCGACTATGAATTTTACAGCTTAATTATTAATAAGAAAACATCGCCTTATAATCGAGCCAAAATAGTATGTCATAGTGTAGTTTTAAAATTAATTCAAACACATTCGCTTTTTCACCCTGAAGAATTTCTCTAAGTCCCTCGCTTTCCGCCATTGAAAAAATCCGGTGTTTTACTAACGCGCATTAATTGGCAAATAAGTTGTGCAACTTATAGCACATTAATTGGAAACTGCCATGTTGAGGATTCATCATTTCTCGAGTTCGCTGTTGTACTTTGTCTTTACATGGTTTTCTGCGACTGTTTCATTGAGTTTTCTAACAGTAGACAATTACCATAGTAGATTTTTCTACTCTTGTGAGTGCTGATTTATTCTACTGATTTTCTTACTTCGCTTGTTAAACGCTTGTTTACACGAAACCTTAAGCACAAAACCACTGGCTCAGTAAATAATGGTTAGAGAAAAAAGCCAAATGCAGCAATAAACTGTTGAAAAACATGTAACATCCAACTAAATGCATATGCAAGTGTGTGGCTTAAAATTTATTCTCCATAAATGGACATAAAACTTAAGAAACAAGATAATTAAAATTTGTGAATTTAAAAAGCGGGAATAGGGATCGTCAAAAAGTACAGAAACAAGTTGAATCAAAATGCAAAGATTATATTTTCAAGCCTACAACTAGGGACTCTAAAACAGTAAACAAATTAGGCTGGAATTAGTGTCGACATTATTTTCTCAAGCTACAAGTCTCTATTTGGGCTCCAATAAAATTGATAAGTAGTGTAGAAATTGAGTTAAAATAAGGATTTGTAGCCTGAAAAAATAATGTAGATACAATTTCCAGCTTAATGTGTTTACTTTTTTTAGAGTCACTAGTTGTAGGCTTGAAAATATGATATTTGCATCTTGATTCAACTTGTTTTGTGTACTATTTTGACGATCCCTATTCTCCTTTTCAAATAATCAATTTTTAATTATATTGTATAAATATCAATATTTTGCGCATGCGAAACAATTCGAAAGAAACATCGAATCATGACTATTTTTTAAACATTTTTAATTAACCTCGGGTTACGTAGGTATAAACCCCAGTCGATAATAAACCATTGTGAACATATTTACAAATTTTTAAAACCCTTACATAATACGAAAAATATTACATATTTATTTATTTTATACAAACTATAACTTTAAGTAAAGATATTATCAAACAGATATCAGAAACTAAAGTACTAGTTATATATTAAAAGTACGTAAGAATTCAAATTTTCTTTCTTAATTCAAAACTAGCAGAAGCAATAAATTAATCACTAGTTTGTAAAAACGTTTTCTCAATCTTAATATTACAAAACTCTTAAGTTTTTTCATAAAGAAAGTTTTGGGTTTTACTTACAAAAGAATTTTCAGATTGAGAAAACAAACACAAAACTCCAAAAACGTTTAATAGTTAGTACAATTACAGTTTTGACATAAAAAAAAATCGTAACGGTGGTAGTTGTATTCAAACGCCCTCTATAAAAGTTATAAAAACAACAAGATATTTATTTTACTTACCAACAATCATATAATGTTTTGTAGACGAAATATGATATTATTATTAGACTTAGTGCTCTTTTGATAACAAAAAATTATAAAAATTTCATATGTAAAAGAAAAAGTTATTATCAAAATCCAAAGATATATATATATATATCCGAAGTTTTGTGGTCAAAACCTGCAGAACCTTTGCTGGCAATAATTCTTGGGAACAAAACAAGTGATGTCCTTGTTATCTAACATCTTTCCTGAGCAAATTGCTTCCACCTTTCTGCTTCTGATAAAATACAAATATTTGCACTGTTCGAGTAGCGATCAAGATCATAGTTTTTTAAAAATCAAAGAAAATGTAACAAATAATGAACAACTTAAAACTTTTAAGTGGTTTTATCCATCACATTGTATGTTTAAACAATATTTGTTTGTTTGTTTGAAGTTATGCACAAAGTTGCACAATGGGCTATCTGTGCTCTGCCCATCACGGGTATCGAAATCTGGTTTCTAGCGTTGTAAGTCCGCAGACATACCACTGTGCCACTGGGGGGGCATGTTTAAATAGCACCTGTAACTAATGAACAGGTGCCGTTTCTGTCTCAAGTCTATATATATGTCTCTTGTTTGTGATTTTTAATTAAACATTACTTCTAAAGAGCTTCTAATATTACGTCACGAGCAGGGCGATAGCTTTGGATATAAGTAATAAAATGCTTTTAGACGTCAGTCGTAGTATATGGCCAAAAGATGCCCAACAGGTCCACTTGGTGTTTACTTGACCAGCACTTTTGTAAGTAGTAATATACTACAATTTTGGCATTACAGTCAATCGTCGGCTGAATTGTCCTTCACGTGTCGTACTGATACTTTCTCCGACAGACACCTGCCAAATAAAAAAATGAAATGTTATTTAAACGCACGATAATTAAAACCTGACAACAAAGGTTCAACGTTATCCATTATTTGAGCTCATTTAGTCCTTCCTAAACAATATGCATAGATGGAAAGAATAAATTACCAATTTTCAATCAACGTTTTATTCCGTAAGGTAGTCTCATTAAGCCTAAAACTAATTTAATCAGTGTCAATATTTTCATCATTCACTTTCGTAAGATAGTATAATTAGGCCTGAATCTAATTTAAACGTCAATTGTTATAGTGTGGACGCCTTTGACAAGCTGGGGGAAGCATTATTATAATCAATTATAGCTTGTCATAAGACATTATGTTAGAACTATTTTATTTTTTAACACAACATAACAGTGCAGTTTAACACATATGTCTCTAATTGTACATACCAGTATTGATGTTTTCCAACGCATGGGAAGTGATAGCCTTGTTTTTCATTCTAAGT